GAAATAAACCATAATTGCAGGTTGGGCGTGCTTTAAGTGTTTTACAGTAGCATTATTTGCTCTGCAAGCGCTTCCAGCCAAAAAGGATTCACTCCACACCTGCAGCATTTGCAACACCAGCAGGATGAAAGGCAATCTCCCATTTCAGGAATGCAGTCTGAAGAAGTGAAGTTTGTTCAGGTAAACCTACCACCATCCTGGTTAAAAATGAGGAAAACACACATCCAGGCTTCATGGGTACTACCTTTCCCTATATTTTTACATGCAGGAAACTTTTTTCAAGCATTCTGTACAACAGATGCTAGCCGCTGCCTAGGCAGCAATGTTGGGCCACACGTTGAACAAACCCGATGAGACGCTCTGAACAATGAATCAGGTGGCATGCAGCTGATGGCAGAGAATTATATGCATGCATGCAAGTCTCTACGAGAGAATTGCTTTCAAGGCATTTCATCCAACTTGTCAGAGATACCATAGATCCGTGAGTATTGCGGTCTCCTGGACAGAAACAAACATGAAAAGACCATGTGGTTGGTGGTTAGTCTTAGTCAGGGTGAGTTATAAAGCTCTTGCAGACACGAAGGCACACAGAGCAAATGCATAGTGGCATGGAAAGGAGCAGTACTGAATGCTTGGAACAGGGGGAAGCATGGCTGTGGGTGGCACAGACAAATGCCTCACTGGACACAGCATCAAAAAGTCTTTACAGAGCCACTGGCTTGCTAATTTGCATATGTGCAAATTTCTCACCCATGGGCACAGTCTTAGTGTACTCTTTCAGTAAATCTATTTAAGCTGTGCTAGAACATCATAAGGCAACAGACCTCTTTAAGTGTCATAATTGTATTTAACCTATATTGCTCTAGATACTACTTTTCAGTTACTCAAATTTAGTTTACTGGTTTTGGTTTTTTGGTTGGTGGTGGTGATGGTTTTGACTTTTTCTAGAATAAAAAATCTCTGCAGATTTAAAAAAAAATGTGGCAATGTCCTTGTTCAGTGTGAGTGCAAACATACACCCCGCTTGTTTCATGCCTGCTCAGGCAGGGCTTTAAACAATCGTTTGCTTCTCTCCAACTTGCCTGTGCGTGAGCCAAGGAAATAAAAGGGTGGGCAGGTCACCAGGAACCAGAGTTGCTGCCGAAAGCCTGTTGATGTTAACACAAAGGTACAGGGAAAAGGTGTCCGCTTTCAAATTGTTCAGTGTTGCCAGGCATTACAAACTTTCTAGATCGTTTGTTAATAATACATCTACAGTATAGTGCGCATCTGGGAAGCCACTGAAGAAATAGCAGGCTTTGTAGGATCCTGTCTGGTCAGTTGCCCAAGCATGGATCAAAAAGCAGTCCCAGAACATAATCTGTCCTTTGCACTGCCAGACCTGACTGATGCCTGTTGTCAATGCTCCTGCCTCTTTAATTGTCAAGAGAGCTTTTTTCAGGTGAGCTGCTGCTTGTATTCCTAATCAGGTTCCAATTCTTCATACGGTTAATTCTTCTTATTAGTCTGATCAGCTTTGGTGGGCCAGCTCACATAAAGGTAAACGCGGGCGTGCGGAAGGATTTGCAGGATCAGATCTTGAGTAGTCAGCATGTTATTCTGCTACCCAAAAGCACCGTAATGATTTCTTAGCTGACTTCATGCACTGATTTTATGTTCCTTGGTAAATCCTGAGCCTCTCTGCCATTTCTTCCATCTGCCCCCAAAACCATATTGCCTCTTTTTAACTGTTGTTTTATCCTGCTGAGCTCAAACAAACAAGCAAGGTGAAAAGCAGTATTGTGATGCAAACTTGTGACGCTGTAATAGATGCTCATCACCCACTCAGGTAGCATGATAATTGTTTTTAAGATGCCTCTCCCTTCAATTAGAGGCACAGTTTTTGTTTCCTGTGACATCCCTAATACCCTTGCTTAAAGCAAACAGTTCCTAGGATTTTCCCTTGTGATTTTCATTTTTTTTGTACAGTCTCAGCTGTGTTTGGTATTAGCAAGATTTCTGGTGAACCATGACCGCTATTTTCCTATTAAACTTTTAAAAAAGCTATCATTCCTATAGCAAACTGCTGAATGAAGAGCTGGTGGGGGAAAAGCACCATTACTAAGTCTCTTCCAAACACAGTATCTCATAAATTTTTGCTGTTTCATCAAAAATCAGTTACGAATTCTGAAACTATTTTATTTTTCTGATTATATGTCCTTGGTACATTTAGTTGGTCTTACTTCCATTTCTGCATACAAAATACCTTTAAATATCATAAGCAAAATCAGTGATATTTTCAATTCCTCCTTACAAAAGCCCATTAATTTTATATGCATCTTTGTTTTTTGCATCAGTCCCACACTGATTATCCTCTGAACTTTAAAACCAATCTTGCTAGATGTTGTTGTGCAGTGCTGTTACTTAACGTCTGCGTCTGATGTATTTTCAGTTGCAGGACCCACTGCATTAGATTCAATCACCGTCACAGTGACAGACTGAATCAGCAGCCTAGTTGGTTATGGCTGTTCTGATTTTCTGTATCACTTTTTTCCCCTAGCATGTTACATGGGAATTTCATGTTGCTTTCTGTGTTCAGAGGTGACCTTTTTTTCTTCGTTCTCTTTTGGTGCGAGAATATAAAGGTGGTGATGTTACCTGGTTGACAAATCCCTTGTCTACATTTCTGCCATCAGAAGCCCTCCCTCAGCTCATTGCAAGCACCTTACTTTCTGGAGTCTTTCATACGGATGGAGATGAGGCGTCTTCACGTTCCAGCATTGCCGTGAGTTACACGCATGCCCTGCTGCGGTACAGGTTTTAGTCCATGATTGCACAGAACACCATCAATCCTCTTTTGACCTCATTTCACTTGCTGTCCTGCAACCTCTACCCCTCTTAAACCCCGAGAACTCAACCAGGCCCGTTTCATACAATCAGCAGGCGGGAGTGCACACGGGACAGTTTCCCGGGCAGCTATGAGGCGAACGAGCCCTTCGCTCCCGCAAGGCTGCAGGGAGAGGCGGAGGGTCCCGGCTGCCGCGGCCGAGCCTCGAGCCTGGGGCGAGCGGCGGCCGCTGGGTGGCAACAGCCGCCCGCTGGAGAGAAAAGTGGAGAGAGGAGCAAGAGGGGAGAGAGGAGAAAGGAAAGGAGAGGAGAGAGGGGAAAGGAGAGGGAGAGAAGAGAGCGGGGAGAGGGGAGAGAGTGGAGAGGATGCTGGCGCTAGATATGGTGTCGAGTGCCTTCCCGTGCCCCGCTAAATAAAAGACAGCAGAGCCATTAAACACCCTGAACGCCTCTTCAGGTACCTGGAAAGGCGCTGGTTTGTACATGTTAGGAACAAATTCCTCGGTGCGTCCTCGAAACAAATCCCTGGATCACCGAGGGCACAGGTGAGTTCCGTTTAGCGCATGGGGAATCCTTCCCGTTTGGATGCCGGGACCTCCCCTACTTCTGGAGGGAGGGTAAAGTGACCCTCCTCACACCAGTGCCATTTCCTCAAGCAGGGTAGCTGCCAACCTGGGAACTACGCGTGACAGGTCCGTGGGTGAAGGAAGCGCGACTCTGGAAACAGAGACTTGAAGGGGAGGGTGCAGTCATTCCGAGTGTCCCCTATCCGAACAAACTCACAGTCACAGCTTTACTTATGCATTTTATTCCTTTTAGGTTCGGGGTAGTGTATAGATGAGATTGTCATCCCAGTCACCCTCATATCGACAAAAATCGGCAGAATTTATCCATAGTCTTTTTCCCGCTCTTGTATTAAGCAGCGAAAGGTGCCGAGAATGCCCTGCTCCCGTTCGCCTTGGCATTTCCCCGGGATGGCTCCCCCTTTCAGCTGGGGCAGTCCCAACATCACACCGATGTCGCTGCTCGGGGTGGCTGGGGGGCTGAACCATCGCTATTTCACAGCTCTGTAGGTTTAACCTACTTTGAAGGTTAGCTCTGCTTCTTTGGTCAAGCTCCAGATTCACCTCATCTCCAAACAGCTCGAGTAGTCCCTCTTCAGTATATATATATATAAAAAAAATTCTTCAGGTCGGGCGCAGGGACAAACCTGAGCCCCGTTTCTACAAACAGTCCTAAAACCCAACTCCCTGCCGGTCCCACGGGCACACCTGAAAGCCGACCGGCCGGGCGGCCTGCGCGGAGCAGGTGTGCGGGATCCTGCACGGCCGGGAGCCGGGGGCACCCGCCGAGCCGGGACCCGGCCCCGCACGGGCTCCGCGGCCGCGCAGGGGCTGTGGCCAGCGCTCCCCACCTCGGTCGGAGCCCTGCCCGCCTGTATCGGGCCACTTTTCTTTTGTAGAAGGGGGATTCGGGCTTTTTTGTTTGTTTTTCTCGCCTTCACTCCCTCATTTTAATTTTTTTTTTTTAAGCATGATTTATTTATTTAAACGAATCCGCGCGGGGCGGCAGAGGCGCGGAGCGGGGCGCGCTCCCCTGCGGAGGGCCGTCAGCTCGCACCCCTTCGCCCCCGCCGCCCGCTTCCTCCGCACGGGCGGGGGCGGCGAGGCGGGCCGGCAGCACCGCCCGCGGCCCCGGGGCCGCCCCTCCACTCCGCTCCACTCCGCTCCGCTCCGCACAGCTCCGCTCCGCGTCCCCGCCGCCCCGCCGCCGGCCCCAGGCCCGCGCCGCGATGGAAGGCGGGCCCGGGCCGCGGGGGGCTGCTCGCCTTCCCCCGCCGGCTGTTTCTTTTTGAGCGCCCCCCCTCCCCATTTCCCCCTTTTCTTGAATGAAGCGTGAGGCGGAGCTCTAGGAAACCACCGCGCCCGGCTGCGCCGCGCGGGGCCGGGGCCGGAGCCGGAGCCTCCCCCTCGGGCTCCGCTCCTCCCCGCCTCTCCCCGCCCCCGCCGCTCCGCTCCGCTCCCCCCCGCCGCCGCCGCCGGGAGAGCTCCCCGCCCGCGCCCGCCGCCGCTCGGAGCCGCCGCCGCCACCGCGCGGAGCCGCCGCCGCCGCCACCGGCAGCAGCAGCGCGGAGCGCCCGGAGGAGCCGCCCGGAGCCGGCGGGGTGCGCGGGGCTGCGCGGGCGGGCGGGCGGGCGGGCAGCGGCGCCGCGGCCGCGGTCCCCATCGGCACCAATCACACCGCACACACGCCCGTCCGCGCCCCTCCTCGGCAGCGCCAGGGGCTCTTCCTCCGCCGATACAAAGCTGCTCGGGAAATGGCAGCAGTCAAAAGCAATTTTCCTTCTTTATTTTTATTTTCATTTTTTAATTAATTTTTTTTCGCGCTCTCTTGTGCAAAAGAATTAATTTCCTAAATACATACAGTATTTTTTTAAATTTTTTAATTTTTTTTTTTTTTGGTGTGTGCGTGCGTGTGTGTGGAAGCACCGGGCTCCTGCGATCGGTGTCTGAATGAAACTACGTAAATGCATATGTCTGTACGTTGCACTGGAGGGAAAAACAGAGCACTTCTGCGAGAGCTTGGATTCAAATGTGGTTCATCTGGTCTCCAGGATTTTCCGTCTCTTTGGGGTTGTTCGCCTTCCCGGGCTGCAAGGCGTTATTTTCTGAGCTTTGACACATTTTTGGAGATGTCTGTTAAACAGAAGTCTGGGAAAAAACATTTGAAATAATAGAAATATTTTTTTTTGTCCCTTTCCCATCCCTTTGGTGACTTGAAGCATCAAAGCGGCCAGAACTTAACCTTTCTGAAGACTTGTGATGTTTGGATTTTATTGTTGCTATTTTTCTTTTAGAGGAAACTTGACAGAGGAACATATTTATAGTCCAAGTAAGTACTTTACAGAGGAAATTTAGTTTGTGTAACTTAACAAAAAAACCCAAAACCTAGTGTTGAGGTTTCTAGCATAAAGTGTGTTGGATTAACGTCCATCCAAGGCTGCTTAACAAATTGTGTTGAATTGCAGTTTTTACAGTGTGTGTTCGTCTGCTCCTTCATGTCCATGGTAGTCCAGCACCTAGGGGAAAATGCACCTGATTTTGAGTCGGTATAATATCTTTTAAGATGTATTTCAACACCGAGGAGGAAATGGTCCTAAAGTAAATTTATAATAAGTAATAAATGTGCACCTGGAAGTAAAGTCTTTACAACATTTAAATCCTTATTTATGACGTGCATCTCAAACCGAGGAGGAAACTCTGAGAAGACAAAAGTACCTCCGAGACCCTGAGAACTCCCCCACAACAGCGTGAATGAAACCGTATCCAATACAATAACTGGATTATAATTTTTGGTGTTATTAATTTTATTATTATTGGCTGCTTAACTTTTTTGGGTTCATCCTGCTCCTCTTCTTCCTCTCTCCCTTCCTCTTGCTGCTTCCTCTTGGGAATTATGGCTCATCCGGGGAGAAGAGGCTACGATAACCGGGAGATAGTGCTGAAGTACATCCACTATAAACTCTCTCAGAGGGGATACGACTGGGCTGCCGGCGAGGACCCGGCACCCTTGCCTCCAGGTCTCTCTCCTCCTGCTGCTGCTGCGGTTGCTGCTGCTGCTGGGACTTCCTCTGATCACACTGGGCTGGTGTCTCCGCACCCCGAGCCCCCTGGCTCGGCTGCTGCTAGCCACGCGCCCCCAGCCGAGGGGCAGCGCCCCGCACCCCAGCTCGTCCACCTTGTCCTGCGCCAGGCAGGGGACGAGTTTTCCCGCCGCTACCAGAGGGACTTTGCCCAAATGTCTGGCCAGCTGCACCTGACGCCCTTCACGGCCAGGAGCCGCTTCGCGGCGGTGGTGGAGGAGCTCTTCCGAGACGGGGTTAACTGGGGCAGAATTGTGGCCTTCTTCGAGTTTGGCGGTGTGATGTGTGTGGAGAGCGTCAACCGGGAGATGTCTCCCCTTGTAGACAGCATCGCTGCCTGGATGACTGAGTACCTGAACCGGCACCTGCACAACTGGATCCAGGACAACGGAGGCTGGGTACGTCCCCCAATTGCTGGCTTCCCCTCTGGGCTCTGGCCTGTGGCTGGTGGGAACCCCATTTGGGCAGTGCCTGAGAGGTTCCGCTCGCGTTGTGGAGAGCAAAAGGTTTGCCTCGGGGGTGTCTGCACTGGTGTGTGCATGGGCGTTTTGCGGATTGTTGAGTTTCATCTCGTTGCAGGGTACGATGGAATGGTTTGAGATGGAGTGGTTTGAGATGGGAGATCAGCTACAGCTTGGGAGTGAAAAGGATGAGTGAGGCACTGTCTTTATAGCAGTCTCTGCTTTCCTGGTCCTGTCCAACCTTGCTTATGGGCAGAACCAAGGCAGGTTCCTGGCCAAGGCAGAGTCCTGCAGCGGGGTGGGAAGGGGCAGCAGAGATGCCCATCCACCTGCCAGGGAGAGGCGCATCGTGGTAGGTCGCAGTTGCAGGGCATCAGGGACCACCTATGTGTGTGTGCATGTAGGCATGTTAGGGGTGATGTGCCAGACTGGCGTGCAACAAATACAGGATCCCGGTGTTACTGGTGAGCAGGTGGCCATTGGTGACAGTGTCTACAGCTGTGGTGGCGACTGGAGTGGGATTTCTTGGTATAGGATATGTCTAATATAAAAAATCTTTGTCTTGCGATGAAACAAAGGTGCTGGGAGCCGTGTCTGTGGGATTGTTCTGGAAAATGAGTATTTGTTGCGATCTGATGGGTGACTGTGTTTCTGGGGTAGAGATCACCTCTGTCCAGGGTGGACTTCAACATCATCTAGAAAGGAAAGATTTCCACCTCTGGAAAATGAACAGCTTTTACACTGATAGTCAGTCAAAAGCCTTTTCTTTTTCTCTCTCCCTCTCTTTCCAAAATTAATAACTGCATTGAAATTGAAAAGATATTTCTTTCCTTCTTTCCTGTATTAATTGATATACTGGAAGAAAACATGGTCCCAGCCGCTCTCCCACAAACCAAACCTGTTGTATGTGTAAAGCTTGTGATATTAATGCGTTGGAGGAAGAAATGACAAAAGTTATACTGAAGAAGAAACCTTGTATCTGGGCTGAGAGCTGGTATAAAGGCACCTAGGTCAGCTAGCTAGGACACCGGCAATTTCAGGTCCAGTCCCCTGTGAAATACAGAGAGCTGACTCAATGGCACAGCACACCTTTAAAAGGTGTGTGTAAAAGAAGATAAAATACAGTATATGTTTCCCAGTTAACGTGTTTTGCAAGTCTGGTGTTTGTGAAGCATTGTCACATGAAAATTTTAGCCCTGGGTCTCTTGCTAAGTGTTATGTCAAAAAATGTGTTGCCTGCATTGACCATCTCTGTTAAAAAATAAAGATGCTGCCTTCTCGCTGTTGAATCCATCTGACTAAAGGTGATATGTGTTAAGGGATTCAGAGGACATCTACCTGCTGCCATAATGGAGGGAGCAAAGCTTTGGGGCCCTTTTCTCAGCAGGAATCCACACTGCGCACCTTCCAGAGGAGTGCTGCTGGTTCCTGGCTACAAGTCACATTGGAGGCAGGATTGTTCTCCTGCTCTCCTCTGCTTCCACCAAGAAGAAAAAAATTCAAGATTCATGGGGCCAGAAGGGGGAGCAAAAAATGTGTGTGCGTGCATGTGTGTGTCTGTGCATTTATATACATATATATGTATATACAAATGTATATACACACATACACATAAAATTACTCCAGCACGTAATGGTTGGGACCACACTTGGGAGAGAGAGGTCTATCCCCTGATCCCCTATTTCCTGGATCGCTCCAAAGGGTTTGTTGGTGTAGTATGGTTTTTTTTCACAAAACAGATAACTGTGGGAAGAAAAAATCTGCAAATGGTTCAGGCTTTTGGAGACCTTGGCTGGTTAAAAGGCAAGCAGCTAAAGGGTTAGGGATTTTGTGATTGCACTTCTGGGCTGGGATGCCTAACTTGTGCGTAAGTCACTCCTCGGGCTGGAAGCCGGTTTGCGGAGCTGGGGCCCTCAGTTCGCTCCAGAGCCAGTGAAGTAATTCTGTTGACTCCAGTGAGCTTTGGATCAAATCATAAGCATGCTGGAGATGTATTGTCCTGTGGGTGTATTGTGTAAAGAGAAACATAAATAATGAATAAAACCGAGAATATGAAAGTACAGGTGGTACCAGGCGTGACTGGCCAGAGGAGATGAGTCCTGGAGCCGTTTCTTGACAGTTAGAAATACAAGAAACTTGGGATTGTAAACAATGACTGCCTTTAAAAGGAAAGGACACTTCTTATCGACAGCCATTTAGTTCTTTATTCAGGTTTCCTATCAACAAAAACTCCAGAATTTGGATGCATGTGATGCCGTTTACTGTCGTGTGTTATTTGTAATGTATACATGGGAGATGATCTGCAAAATACTACTTGAAGGTGGCTTTTGTTTGTCTGGTACATGGCTGGTACTTTTGAGCCATGGGATTGTATTAAACACAGGCAAAACCTTCTAGATGATTACAAAGAGCAAAAGACTAACATGAAGTTGCTAACACAGCTTTTGGGATCATCTCTTCACACAGAAATCAAGACAGCATAGGGCACTGGATTTTTCTTTTTTTTCTTTTTCTAGCTTTCAGAATCTGTCAGCATAAAAGGATGCTTTAATATATGCACTGACCTGTTGGAACATATACCGTGTAAGAACCTTGTTAAAGCCTCGCAGATGGCTCTTCTGAAGTAGCCTTTGGGTGGTGATGCTTGGTAGGACTTCAGCACAGCTGCCTGTAAGATATCCCTGTCACGCAAGTTGCTACAACAAGCAGGAGCTCCAGCTGCTGTAGCCTTCTCTTCCTTTATGTTGTGGTTCCCCAGTATGTTGTGGAGTGGTAAGTTTATTAGAGGGTGCATATACCAGAGAAGAGAGCATCACAGTTAGTCATGGGCATATGTTACGCAGCAAGTAAGTTGGACAGCACGTGCCTTGTGTCTGTTGTATGGACATGTGTCTTACACTCAGGTCTGAAGTTTGGTTGACATGTTTTTCTTATTTATCTGTTAGGTTTGAATCAGTTCTGTGAGTTGGCAGTGTGTTTTCAGGATGTGAATTCTTTAGATTGCAGGAAAAACAAGGAAAGAAACGTATCAAAGGGCAGATTGGAAGGGGGATAGAGCTGGTGGAGCATAAATTTTAGGCACTAGGCATCGCTGATAATGGTGTCTGGGGATTGTTAATACCCTTACAATACATGGCATCATGGTTTTGTTTGAAACTTAGAAAAAGCAACAGACAGGGACTGCATGGAATCTGTATTATTAGCTTGTGGTTCTGGTGGCAAATAAATGCTGCTTTCAAAGATTTTCACTTAGGCCAGGATACCGCAATATTGTACTTTGGCCTGATAACATCTTAATTGTATTACAAAAGAAATAAGAGGAGAACGAGCTCATCTCTGCAATTTCATGGTACTTGGTATGATGTATGCTTTCTGATTAACAACCTCACGGCTTCATTTTGATTTTCGGAGCGGCAGAAGGAGTGGCTATTGCACTTGGCAACTTTTGACATTGACATGGGGAAGATTGAAGTGATGCAGTTGGTGTGGGTGAAGTAACTGTTTGTCTTGCAGTGATGGGTTCCCTCTTTGGGCATACAACCTAACAGACGTGGGAGCCATGCTTAGCTCTGGGCACTTCTAGTCCAACATATGGCTTCCTCCCCAAGCTGTTCAAGAAAAACTAATTGTGAGAACTACAGAAGGAGACACAGGCACCGTCATATTTACATAGACAAGTACGTTTTTGATGTAAAGAATAAAGAAGCCCAGGTGAGAGAAGCAGTGTTTTGTTGAAAATTCAGCTGAGAACACATTTTAAATGCCAATATTTACATTTGAACCAGAAATGCAAGGGTTGTGTGTTTTCATCTGATTCTCTTCATTTATTGCAGTTCTTTGTTTTGTTTGAGGGTTAAGGCCAGAATACAGGAGAGAATTTAGATGTCTGAAGTGGACATTGGGTGGAACATAAGCGCTGGCATCCTCCAGGTGTCTGCCTAGCCAGAAGAGTGACAGAAGTCCCTGGCTTCTCACTGTTCCTCGCCCAAGCTAGTCAGAAAAGGGGGGCCACTCAGCATGCTGCGGGGAACAGTTCCCTAGAACTTCCCTGTCCCGAAGCTGGCAGGCACCTTCTGGCCCACCTCCTCTCACTCAGGTGCCATCCTTGCATGCAAACACATTGAGGAGAAGCTCCCACTTTTCCTTGTGGCTCCTTAGTTAAGGCCTCTCCCGAGCTTTGCCAACAAGACCTTCCCCAGCCTGGCAGGGGGGTTTACACCCGCATCTCCACCATCTCAGGAAGTTTCACCTACCAGATGGCTGCTGATTTTGCTGAGGTGTCCTCCCCTTTGGCAACAGGGCTCCTCCTCCTCTCAGGGGTGAGATTTCATTTGGTGAAGGAGGAAGAACTGGGGTGTCTAATTCCTGCAGTCCAATGTGTTTTCTCAGGTGGCTGTCTACAGCCAGATGAATAAATGCTTCTTGGACCAGCAAGTAGATCCTAACTTTCCCTTCTCCTGAGTCCTCATCACTGAGCTTCCTTTTTTTTTTTCTTTTTTTTTTTTTTTTTCTTTTTTTTGTGCCTAGTAAACCATTGGTCTTTTTACTTGGTGGCATGGCTTGGAAAGGAAGCTTGGAGGGTCTCTGTACCCTGCAAGTGGTCCATGGCCCTCTCATGAAGGTGATGGATGGCAGGTGCATCTGCCTCCGGGACAGAGCTAGGGGTAGTGGATAGCGGTGTGGCACAGGACCTTCCAGAGCTCATGTGTGGGGCACTGACTGAAATCCCATCCCTTTCAGGATCTGGAACTGCTTTCCTAACAGCTCTGCCAGACACCCGCCTGCACAGAACGTTGCTTCTCGTGCAAGTCCCAAGCAAAAGCCTCTTGCTCATTCAGCATGTGATTTCACCTTGCTTGGAGTGGGATGCCATGGGCTGGAGCAGAGGCACTTGACTTTCTTTACTAGCAACATTCAGCCTTGTTAACGACTCAATC